TAGTGTTTACACGCGGGGCTTATTGTATGTGAAAGTAACCTCGGAATGGACGTGAATTACCAGGCATTCTGAAATGGGTTGCTGGATCTGCAGTAGAGCTATCGCTTTCTAACTCCCGGACTAAACTTGCTTTAAATTATTACATCAAGGATTGTTGTAAGCAAATTTCTTCCATAATACCACTGCCGGCCAGTGGGGGTTAGATTGAATACACATACACACACACATACACATCACATGAACTTAAGAGGTAGTACAATTATTTTCACTCCCGCGAGTTTTCCTCTCAATCAATAGAAGAAAAAAAAAGATAAAACACAACATATTTCCTTCCTTTTAATTAGCTACGGGTGTGACAACGATGGCGAGTTCACTATGTTATATTTTCATTTTATTTCAGCAACCTTATCTTTCAGCAGATGATCCGGACAGCAATTTCAACATTAATAAAAAAAACTACATATGCCAGCAACACTGACTGGGTGTATCCTATGGCTTACCTTCCCTACTAACATAATTCCTAAATTCCCGAGACATTTATGAGGGGTCGTAGAGTTCTCTGCATCTCTCTTAAGTAAATGTTGGACTAACATACCTTTCCTATCCCTACCAGTTGTAAGGACGTGGCCAGGACAATCCTTAACTGTTGGAGCGGGATATGTCTTTATCTGGGAGATAGTAATTACTTCCTACTTACTATCTGTCCAGTAATAGATATCCGTCTTGCTCTTAATAGTTTTGAATTCGTACCACCTACGATATTGTGCAACTTGTTCGATGCTAATGCTAAAAAAATAAAATAAACGTAAGTTAACTACTAAAACTTAATTTAATTTAAAACGTCAAGAGAGTAATAATCATAAAAATACAGATCTTTCATTGCTTCTTTTCCGCAGCTTTCTTCTGCTTCTTCTCCATTGTTGCCATTGCCTTTTCAAGTTATAATGCTTTCTTGCTTCCAGCTTTCTTTCCTCTTCTTCCTCTTCTTCCTCCTCTTCCTCTCTCGCTCAACCTTTTTCTTTTGTCGTTCCTCAATCCTTTGTTTCTTTGCGTTCTCTTTATCAATTTTCTCCCGTTCACTTTCATGTATATTTCCGGCCATTCCTCGCTGGTGGCTACTGTTGGGAATGCTCTCTTGCCCATTTCTGTCTGCTCTCTGTAATTTGTATATGCGTCTTGGTGATATCTTGTAGGGGAGCTGCGCTGTTTTCTTTTTGGGCTGGTTCTTGACGCTCTTCATTAAAAGATATTAATAATATAACATTTACAATACAAATAAAATAAGAGAGTAGCGCTTCAATACGGCATCTCTTATGGTGGTGAATAGAACGGCAAAATCCCTGGATGCTTCTCGGTAAGATTTCCCCGCACGCATCATTGCCACAGTCTTCTCCAAATCCTCCAGCTTGTATTTAGCTTCCATGATCTGCTGAAAAACATTGGATAAAGTGGAGTCGTCATTGTTAATGCACAAGTGTACGGATTTAGAATCAGCTGTTATATATGGATCGAAATCCGTACAGTACTAATTTTGATAAATAAATACCATATGAATGATCCATTGCTTAGAATTGAGATATAAAACGATAAACACTTACCTTTCCGATCGACCTTCAGGAAACTACTTGCAAAAAATCACTTAAATACGCTTAACAACTGGAAGTGATTTCTGACGTAAACATCAAGCTAATGCATGAATGAACATGAATATGTATTCATGTATAATATTTACATTGTTATGATGCATATAAATAAACAAATTCAAGGGTGTACGGATTTCGGTGCTGTACGGATTTTGGTCCCGCACGGTAGTTGTAATCCGAGCTGATGGAATCAATCATCAAAAATCACCATCTAGCAGGGTAATCAAGCTTCTTCGATGGCAAGTAACAGGGTTATTGATCGGTCTCGGGATCATCGACCAACAACTATGGGATGTCGTACACTTTCCGCAGCTCACGTATTGTTCAAATGATGCTTGTGCGAGTTGATGAGGCAGGACGATATTGCAGCAAATCGTTCCGAAAATGCACAAACAAAAAACAACCCGGTAGAACAACTCTCACAATGTTAGCAAAATGAAATTGCATTGAAAATGCCTTGTAATTGTATCAAATTACAGCTGACAATGGCGCAACCGCCATACATCCGTTGCGTGATAGCACGTAGCGTTCTGGTCTGGGCGGATCCTATCGACACCCGATTCGGCTCGAAGGACCAATGTTTTGTTGAAGGAAGCAGTGTGGGGTGTTTTCCGGATCATACACTAATTTTCACACCAACATAAACACAAAACCGTTTATTATTACTAACATTTTAACTTAATAACTTTATTCAACTACCCTTTTTCATTCAATTCCTCTCGTGTTTACCTCCAAGACTTTTATAGTTCCTCTGTAAATTTTGATCCGACCATGTTGCAAGAAATCCGTCGATGGTTGTTCCCTTAATTTTTGCAAACAAGTACCACCATGTTAGTAACAATAAGAGTTTTTTCACAGATGGGTCACCTATAAACGCTTCCACTGGTTTTGGAGTATTCAACGAATTTCATAGCGCCTCATATCAACTGCAAAAACCCTGTTCCGTATACGTTGCGCAATTAGCAGCCATATTCTACGCAGTAGAGTAAAGTGCCTCACTACCATCTGATCACTATTTTATTTTTACAGATAGCCTTAGCTCATTGGAGGCTATTCGATCAATGAGGCCGATGAAGCACTCCTCGTATTTCCTGACCGAAATCCGAGCTAAATTGAGTACTTTATCTAACTGCTCCTATACCATCACCTTAGTTTGGGTCCCATCTCATTGCTCAATTCCGGGTAATGAGAAAGCGGACTCGCTAGCTAAGGTGGGCGCTATGGAAGGCGATATTTTTGATCGACACATCGCCTTTGCGGAATTTTTCTCAATTACCCGTTAGCACGTCCTTATCAACTGGCAACAAAAATGGAATGAGAGTGATTTGGGAAGATGGTTACATTCTATTCTCCCACAGGCAGGGTGCCTTCCATTCATTTTGACTAAAAAAATGTTTTAGGAAATTATGGAATAGTACGATATTATGATGGTATTTTGTATGTGTAAGGAACAAGACAAATTTTTAAAGTTTGTGTTTGACACATAAAACCTGTAAATTTAGCTTTGACAGAGCCACAATGAGCGATTTTCTGATCGCCTCTTCGCGAAGAGTGAAGAGTGAAGAGTGGGTGAGATAAATGACAAAATCGCTTATTGCGACTCTCATGCAGCAACATTGGCTGGTATTATGTGTTAAACACAAACTCCACAATCTTTTCTTGTTGCTTACACAAACAAAATATTATTATAATATCTTACTATTCCATAATTTTATAAAACATTTTTTTAGCCAAAATGAATGGAAGGAACCCTGCCCACAGGTATCGAACAAGCCATGGTCCAAAGGATTAGACATGAGCCGTGACTTTATACGTGTCATATCCAGGCGCATGTCCAATCACTACTCGTTAGACTCGCATTTCTTCCGAATCGGGCTCGCAGGCAGCAATTTGTGCGCTTGTGGTAGTGGCTATCACGATATCGACCACGTGCTTTGGTCATGCACCCTCTATTGTGTTGCTATATCCGAGTTATCCGCATCCCTCAGGGCCCGAGGAAAACAACCTATGCGGCCCGTTAGAGAAATCTTGGCGAGCAAGATCTCGACTGTTGCAATTAAATTTATGTGTTTTTAAAACGGATAGATCTGAGGATTTAATAGTTAGTGTCATCTTGTGTTCCTCCAAGTTGTTAGCTGCCCATCGGGGTACCCCCATGTTTGTCTTTTTCATCAGTTGGTCGTTTAGTTCGAGGTCAAGAGCACATTGCTCTCCAAACCTTGTGTTCTCAATCCCTACCCTGCCATCCATTTGTTACAATTTGTTACCCCTAACCTCGAGATAGCCGCGAGTAATCGGCCCCCGCTTTACTAACGTTAGTTTTAAGTAATTTTGTAATCGAAACAATGAATATCGGCTCCGCAAAGCTACGGCAAATGAGCCTGGAAAAATAAACGCATTATAAAAAAAAACTTTATTCATCTTAATTACTACATTGACGAACATAAACAAATTAAATTAAACACGCGACGGACGTGCTATTGCCTAGTGTATGGCTCGAGGTGCACTGAAATGTATTCGATATACATACAATCGATCGTTTCGGTCCATTTGATCGTCACATATTACGGTAGGTAGTGGTGGAGATGCTGCGGTTCGGCTGTTGAACAGTGATCAACGGTGAGTGACCAGTGGGGAGTCCGTTGATGATCGACATTCAGATGGCGAGGTGGTCACTTCGGTATCGAACATAGGGAAAACGCTTTTTGCAGGCAATTGGTGATAATTTTGATCACCATTGCAACAGTTGGACCTTTTTTTCCTTGATTTTGTTTTCCGTCGATCTTGTTTTCCATTGGTGCTGAGCACCAATGCTACTGACGCCAAGGAGGCAGCTCCCACACAGCTGCTACCGACCCATCAACTCATTAACCGGGGACCAACGGCTTTACTTCCCTTTTTGATATGTTATGCCTTAGAACAACCCGGCGGCTTCGACTTGGATTAAACCCAAGCCTGCTGGGGTGAGAGGTAATCACACTACACCACCAGCGCCGCTAGTTGGATATTTGTGTAATTGAATTGAAAATTAACAAAGTGTTCATTTTAGCAGATTCGTAGAAAAATTTCCAATCGATTGGCTTGGTTAGATTTAAAATCCATCCGCTATTGACAGAGTTATAAAAGGGTCAACAACCACTTTTCGTAACGCGGTCGATTTTGGTTTTTGGAAATTGCACCCCCAATATGTTACCGAAAGACGTAATCTTACGTAAAAAAAAAACACATTTAACAAGCTTCACAATTCACTTGCAGGCAAGCATAATGTTCCAGTTACCACGTAAACCAAAAACAACTCATTTGAACTATTTTGTAAAACTAATTGTCTATTACTATTTCGTTTCATTTTTTAGACTTTGTTCGTGACTATGCCGCATACTGTCACTGGAATGGATAACGGAAGTTGTAAAAATATGGTTTCCAACCTACCACTATTGTTTGCTGGTGGGTACCCAACGTCACTGGAAAGAATAACGGAAGCTCAGTTAGAAAAATTCATTCCTTTTATGGTGCAGTGCTCTCTAGGATATATACATATTCCTACTTTAGAAGAATACAGTGAACCTGAATGGTGGCCAGGAGATCTTGAATTCATCATACCTTTCTGTCGTCCAAAAGCATTTAGAGGGGTAAGTCATTTTATTTTACGAATTATATTAGATACTATAAAAAGTGTATTCAAATTCAAGAAAATTCTTAAAAGACAAACGTTAATTTGATGCTTCGCTCTGAAAAAGCTTCTGTACACACTTGCATTTTCACTATCGTAAATTTTAACTATCAATTGACTCATTCGTTTTGATATTAACTAGGTACTAGCATTTTCTGTTCAGCAAGTTTCTGATCTATATTGTGGAAAAGGAACTACAGACTTAAGTAGTGAACCCATAAATATAGACGCGATTTGGCTAATTCAGTGGCGTCGCTCTAACCTCAATCTACCTGTTCAACAACTCTCAAAACGTAAACAAACAAAACAATATTGGTTCCAATGGATACAAATCAGTGAAACCCTATGCCATTTGAAACTGATTTGAATGTTAACATGACCCTAAATAACGTTTTCAAAGTTATTGAACAGTTAAAAAATGAGGTTACGCGACGCCACTGGGCTAATTTTTACCCTTGTGCAAAGCTGCAACGGACAATTTTTAACGCGGTTCACTTAAATTTGTTATTTTTCATTAATCTTATGAAGGAAACATGAAGGAGACAATTAACCACTTCATTCGAGCAATTAAAATGACGTTTACTACCACTCGAACTTTGAAATAAAACATATTTTTGAGATTTTTTCTTCTAGAACCTCGCGAAAAGTAGACAACATTTGTGCGTTTCATGAAAAAATAGAAATTAGTTGGTCCAGTTTTGTGAAATCGCTGGTAGAAAGTCACGCCAAAACTGCTTCACAAAGTGGTCAATTATTTATTAACAACAATATCAGACTTAGGGTGAACATTTAGTTGCTAGAGACAAGCTACCTAAATTAGTAGGCTCGGATCAAGCGTGGTGAATTAATCAGCCAAATAAACCATTACCGGTAATGAAGTCACCATGCTTGAGCTGGGTAAATTTTATTGGCAAAAGAAATTGTCGTTTGATTCGTATTGTCTGCAATATTGCCCTCGCTCATTTTCAACTTCTAATATAAATATTTTCACACTGTCGTACTCTAAAGGAGCTATCGATTATGTTCTTTCATTCCTGGTAGTGCAACAACTAGACCATATGAGCACAGCGTAAAGCATGGCCGGTCTTAACCGTTGTTTAAATATTAGAAGTTTGTTCTTCCTGTTTATAAAATGATACAAACATTTTATATAAGGTAAATGTCGGCTGAGGCTCCCGTTGACTGTTTTCGGCAACCAAAATTTAAAATGTAATTTCACTGTGTTTTCTCACCAAAACACTTCGCTTAATGTTTGCTAACGATTCCTTAGTCTTTCAGCTTCAATCTGATTATATGTTTACGACTCTGGAAAACGCATTTTCAGATTTTTTTTTGTAATGAACATACGCACTACAAAATGCGGTCGATTTTGAGTTGCCGATAATAGAACAGCAAATCAAATGGAAAGGTTCCCAAACAAAAAGAGATTGCCGACAATAGCCACACTGGATAGAGCAGCAAGCAGCAAATAAATGTAAACAGACAAACATGGCAAAAGTGTGCGTGGTGCTGAGAAAATGCTAATTGCAGCATGGACGCTCTTTTACTGACGAGAATACATAAATTCCCCTATTTGTTACATTTGGCTTGGATACCGTCATTGTGATATTTGAAAGTTAATTTTTGGTCAAGCACTAGTCCAAGATATTTCAGAGTGGTGCGCTCAGAAGTAGTGCTGTGACGATATCGATAATTCCGATATTATCGATAAATATCGGGCCTAAATTATCGATACGATAACCGATATTTAAAAATCCAATATAAACGATAATCAAAATTCGATATCGGTCAGATGTTCTATTCATCGACATAGTTCTATCATTGATGGTTCTATCTCCAGTTGAAGGATCTGGAAGAATTTGTTCGCGACGAGCCAATGAGAAAGATCTCTATCGCTAATTTGGTATGGAGTAATCACGAGGGAATGGTTCAACGCAATATTAACTTAAGTGGACGGCTCACCTCGTACAGAAATTGATATGTATACAATAGGTACGCGAGGAGTGGTGTCGAACTAATGAGATGTGCTATTTCTAGGTACTTATCATACTTAGGATAAGTAAGAAGAGTACGTTTCCACGTTTGTTCCCGGTGGCTCTGAAACATCTGTCAAATATTACAACCTCGGTCCCTTGGGAGCGTTTATTTTCGAAACACGGCGTATTTGAGCGATGTAGGTAGCCTCGAAGAGTGGACAGAATATGTTTGTTAGTGTAATGTCGATTGTTTTTGATTTTCCAAATGCATTATGATGTTGGAAGAGAATTAAATATGTTTAATGTATTTTCCATTGAAAATTGGATATCGGACCCGATATCGATACTCATAATCCGATATCGAAATGATATCGATATTTTCAGAGACCGATATCGATATAATCGATAAATACGTCCTCGTCACAGCACTACTCAGAAGGCGGTGCTGGCGAACGTTTGGTTTTGCTTTCGTTGTCCGCAGATGTTGTGTGTCTTCCTATAGTGGTTTTCATTTACCAAAGCAGTTTTCACGTTTTCGCTGGTGTTAATTGTTTAATTGAAAGGTGCCAATTATCTAATACAGAATATTTTAAATAATTGTGAAAATTCGGTGCAAAGTTTGGTCCCTACCGTAGGCCATTTTCAAGCACCTTGAATATACTTTTCATTCATTTTTTAATCACGTCGTAAACGTTTATATAAAGGCACTGACATCAGGTGTGATACCAGCGGGTTTTGCCGCAATTCACTTTTAAATTGGACGATACTAATGTATCATGTAAATTTTATCTCTATTCGAAACATTTTAGGGAAAACGACTAAAAAGCGCACTTTTCAATTGCGTGACGTACTTTAAATGTTTTTATTCAATAATTATCATTGAATGAATAACCCTCCCCATGGACATGGAGGTTGACGGTACTGAAGCAAAGGGTTATGTTTAATTTCTTTATATTTGCAACGATGATGATTTCCCATAGTGACACATATCACCTTCTTAATGCTTCAGTATACACTGGAGTCGCTTTTTACGCGGGTGATACGTCCCGCGTAAAAAAAAACGCGTAAATTCCGGAATCCGCGTAAAAAAAAACCGCGTAAATTCCGAAATCCGCGTAAAAAAAAACCGCGTAAAAAAAGACCGTGTAAGAAAAAACCGCGTAAAAAGCGATATACCGCGTAAATTCTGAAATCCGCGTAAAAAAAAAACCAAAATCCGCGTAAAAAAAAACCGCGTAAATTCCGGAATCCGCGTAAAAAAAAACCGCGTAAATTCCGAAATCCGCGTAAAAAAAAACCGCGTAAAAAAAAACCGTGTAAAAAAAAACCGCGTAAAAAGCGACTCCAGTGTACCTCAAACGATTAATTCTTGGTTGTTAATAGAACTTCCTTGATGCAATCGGCTGCTTCATGCAGACTGAGCAATTCTGATTATAGTATCAGATTTGTTCTGTATACAGAGGAACTGGGAGGGCTTATTAGAAACTTCTCACCAATAAAGTAATGACCTTCTAGTAAATTTTGCATATCATTTTATTAATATTTTATTTTATTTAAGCATATTATTTTTGTTACAGTCAATTAGCATTAGCATACATCACAAGAGATTTAATATTACTTGCTCGGTTTTGCGTAAAATAATCAATATGTATTTTGCTTGTAATTACCTTTGATTTTTTTTTTTTGTGATTTCAAAATTTTCCTAGTTTGGTTAGAAGTTTCGAAGCTAACACATGTCCACAGGCCTAATAGAAAGATAGACAGACAAAGCGTATCATGAAGAATACTTGCATGCAGGATTGCTTCCACTCACTTTCTATAGATGAGTGATTTTCGGAGTTTTGAATTCGTTAGATGTTGTAATGGGGGTTTGTGTTGTTGGATGCGGGAGGAGATTGGAGGGCGGGTGTTTGACGCATAGAGCTTGTCAATTTCGCTTTCAGAGTGTCGCAGTCGGCGGTTTTATGATTCGTGAGCGCTCGCGATTCGTAGAATCGTTGATTGTGACTGCCAGTGGATTTGGCGGGTTTTGTGTATCGGACGCTTGCTTTTTGGCCTTTTCTTGTGTCTAACATGTGCAGAGTATGTACTCATAGTACAAACTCATGAATCTTGTTTGAGGATTTCGGTCGAGCAGCTTCTCAAAATGTTCTATTACCAATCGGTTCTTTACTTCACAACGGATAAGGAACCGGAAGGACAGTTCGCGAGTACTTCGAGGCTCATCGTATGCGTCAAGAGCATACAGCCAAGCGTGATTCGGAGGCAACGGTTTTGAACCCGTTGCAGCTTCAGGATATGTGTTTTTGCCGTGGATTGAAAACAGAAACTATCGTACTTTAAAACAGAGAGAATGGTTGTTCGGTACAACCAGATCAGATCTTCCGGGTGGGCTCCCCACCATGTTCCAGTAATTGTACGAAGAAAATTAATTCTTTGCTGGCATTTTTGTTTCAGATACGCAATATGTTTTCCCCATGTGCAGTTGGAATCGAACCAGACACCTAAATACTTGAAAGATATACTTTGAGTGATTGTTCTACCCTTTAGTTGAAGCTGTAACTGTGCAGGATGATGCTTCCTAGAAAAAACAACCAACTCAGTTTTCTTCGGAGAGAATTCGATACCCAGCTTCATAGCCCAAGTAGACAAATTGTCTAAGGTACCTTGCAATGGTCCTTGCAGGTCCGGTGCACTTGGTCCTATAACGGACACAACCCTGTCATCTGCAAGCTGCCTTAGCGAGCAATTTTCATCAAGACAACCATCAATGTCTTTTACATAAAAATTATAAAGGAGGGGGCCGGGGGGAGCTCATATATTTCTCAGACAACAAGTTGCTCAAATAGTTGTTCATAATTGGTGAAAGCCCACTATCGTGGAGTTTATCCGAAAGGACATCGATACAAGCAGAATCAAAAGCCCCCTTAATGTCCAAGAAAACTGAACCCATTTGCTGTTTTTGCGCATAGGCCAGTTGAAT